ATAATTTAATTTTCGCTGTTATCAAATTATAACAGTTTTTACGAATTTTACGTTCAATTTCGCAAATACAATCCTAGTCAAATTACTTCTAACAATAAATAATTACATTCGTATATTTATATAAAATTACATTAAATAAATAATTAATAAAATACATATTATATGAATGTATCTTATGTTTCCTGAGATGCTTAAAGTAACTTTTGGAAACATATTAATATTAATAAAAGTCACAAAATTATGTAACATTTTCCCGAATTACCAAAAAATAAAAAAAAATGATCACGGATTGCGTCTTGCATCAGTCATAAAAATTATGATGAGTGATGCAAGATGCAATTTTACAGATTTTTAATTGCATCTGACGCAATTCAATAATTTTAGTGACATGTATATTCCTGTAATTTTACTTGGTATTTTGTGAAATAATTAATATAATTAATATAATTAATACATTATTTTTGTAATATAATTAACTAACATCATAATTTATTTATAAATAAGGAACATGAGAAAATATACAGTTCATTATAAGGTGTGTTTACTAATATGTTTGTTATAGAGAGAGAAATTAATTAAAAGGGAAGTTCATTATAGAGATTTTACTTAGTGTTCGTTATAGAGAGAATGAACTGTAGCTTTATTTTTTTTTTTGTCTGCTAAAGGATATCATAGAAGAAAAGGACAATGTTGTATTAAATATTTAATATTAATTATCATCATTCTTTTACAAATAAAATAAAAATGATTTTTTCTATATATTATTGTATATAATAATAATTTTTAATGATTCACAGTCAAAAAATTATCTACTGTATCATAGTAAATTTCGTGTTACCTACACTCTACCCTTAACTTGTATATAGCTTGATTATTTATGTCCTCAAAGGTTGTTGAAGCTAAATCAAAAGGATGGAATTATTTATATTATTTATTAAAAGCTTGATTGTTTTAGAATTATTTTATTATTTTAATGTGTGACATAAGAAAATGATCGTCACTGTAAAAAATTTATCCTTTCAGTTGTTATGAAAAATCACATGACTACACTCTACCCTTAATGGCTCATTCTTCTTACCCCAAACATTCATTTAAAATTTTCTTTGCTATTTCTTTAAAAACACATATATATCACCTATCAATGCTTGTTAAATATTTGAACAAATACAGCTTCATGATAAACTAGAATAAATTTCATCCATCCTCTTCATCCTCTTCTATTTTTTGTAATAGTAACGCTCCAAAAACCAGATATAATTTCATAATGTTGACACAGATTGCATTTATAATTTGCTTCTAATTTAAAAATAAAAAATAAAACTATTAGATTAAGAAGCTAGAAGTTGTCAGTTATGTTTAAAATACTTAGACTGAATTTGGTTCATTTTTATAAATATGTATGTATGTATGTATGTATATTTACGTTTATAGATCAGTTATTTGACTATTTCTATAGTATTTTTGTCCTACTGTATATAGTGGGACGATTTGGTGGACTTTTTTATATTGTGAAATTTACCCTGGGACGATTTGGTAGACAATGTAAAGAGCATATAGAAAAAATAAAAAAAATTTTTTTTTTTAAGGAAAATTGGTTTTTATGAAATACAAAGTATTGTTAAGGATATCATCTGTAAAAAAAAATTTATTACTAAAAAAAAAGATATATTTACTATAGTGCAAGTCACTTAGTCGCTGAACTTTTTGTGCTACACTGCCATTTTTTGAGAAAAAAATTTCCAATCAAAAATGCAATAAAATTTGTATGGTCACGTGTTTTTGAAGA